ATTGCTGAACCCATATATGCACTTTAATGGAAATCAATTTCATCAAATTTACAGAATTTTGGACACTTACATCATATTTACATCAAATTTACAACCTTTAAAGCACGTGATTTTTTCCAGTGTTTGCAGAGCGGATAGATTGGACAAAGTGCTAATGTATATCCATAACCACCTTGCAAGCAAAGTCTTATTTTCCTCGCTATTCCGTACAACAATTTTCGGAGGTGTGTTCAGTAAAAATCCATAGTCATAGTCTGATGAGATTGACTGTTGTTTCCTATGAGGTCCCACACTTTTAAGCATATGGTCTTCCGAGACGATCTTGGGCCTGTCACTGGGATCTCAATCCGAATGGTTGCACATGGATCAGGAAAAGCCTGGTGGCCAAATCTGGTATGGAATTTCCCAMTCATGTCGCATTAAAACATTCTAAAACATTTATTTTGGACCATTCCATCGAATTTCCTCATTTTAAGCAGCACCCACAGACAATTTTATACTTCGGCCTTAAGAGGGATAAAAAAATGAGCATGAGGCATGTTACCATAATACACAACCCTCCAAAACAAGATCCAGCATTGATGAAAGGGGACTAAGGGATAGAACTGTGAAAAAGATARCGGAGAAAAATGTTAGGCTTGTCACTAATAATTCTATTTTTCCGAGGCTTTTTGGAAACGATTTTAGTTACCAACGTACTGAATTGCCCCGATCTAAAGCAAAACACTTAGAAAGGTTGTATCGAAACATTGCTTTATAACACTTAGTATTTCTTTAAAATGAGTTTTTTTTTAATTTAGGTTAGATATTGTTATAGATATTAGATTATTATTTGACGTTATTTACTAAACGTAAACCTATTTCTCTTAGTTCGTCATCACTGATCCTGTCAATAATCAAGTGGTCAAGTTTGGCAATACCAAATGGTTGGAACCTCCCTCAACCTATGGACCATCAACCTTCCCCAGAAAATAAGGGCGAATGAGGCGTAAAGTGTTTGATATGCTCGTTACAGGAAAGGTTTTGCAAAACGTGTTTCCCTAAYCCTAACCCCAACCCTAACCCTAACCCTCCTACACATGTAATAGAATGGGTTTTATCGATCAGAAAATACAGTAGTATTATGTAACTAACAAACCAGAAAAACGTACTAAGAACTTTTCAATCAAATAACTTTAATGTTTAAACTGAACAGACACAAACAGAACAGTAGAAATGTGCCACAAGTTTTTAAAAACTTTATTTCTGATTTCCAAAACACTATATCTTTCAGATTAGGAATTTTTAAAAGAATAAGTGACTGTCCAATATGGCCTTATAAAGGAAATACGAGCATATCTAACTAAAAGCCTCCATACTATCCATTCTTTGTGACGTGCAGTTCTCAAATGTTAAGCCGTTTATTTCACGTCGATGTTACCGATGGAGTGTACCTAAAACCGTTTACTATGTTCTTTGACCATTGACCGTTTCTGTATTGTGTAGTGAATAAAGTCAGCTGGTACTGATGGTACTGATGATTCTGCGTTCAATGTTATTGCCTAAAGTATTTCTATCCCTTATTGTTCCATATTTTATTATAGTGCCTGAGTATGGAAGGGGAGTGGGTAGGAGTCGTACGGAACCAATAGATGAGGTGACGGTTTCGGCCGCCATTTTGTTCCAGTAGGCAAAGTGTCGCAAAATAACAAGGAATGACAGGGAAATCGATGTCAAATAATTCTCGCTGAATTCAAATTCCGAAAGAATTATCAATTGCAAACGTTAGATACTGCAAAAAGGAGTTAACTGGCAAAATTTGAAAGGCGTACTTGATCTAGAGAGCGAGTAAACTCATTTTTAGTTCTCCATACATTTCTTTGTATTTTTCACGCGCGTCACGCACTGATGACCCCGGAAATGATAACGAAATGTATTGAAATTACAAAGAAATGTATGGAGAACTAAAAATGAGTTTACTCGCTCTCTAGATCAAGTACGCCTTTCAAATTTTGCCAGTTAACTCCTTTTTGCAGTATCTAACGTTTGCAATTGATAATTCTTTCGGAATTTGAATTCAGCGAGAATTATTTGACATCGATTTCCCGGTCATTCCTTGTTATTTTGCGACACTTTGCCTACCGGAACAAAATGGTGGCCGAAACCGTCACCTCATCTATT